AAGACTGGCCGGAATGGACAGTCATCCTGTCCCAGCCGGGGTGCGGGGCTGTGGGTCCCGTCCCGTCCCGGTGTCCAGCGGCGCGTGGGACGTGGCCGGTGCCGGACGGTGCCGGCGCGGTCCCAACTCCCCAGCCAAGGCCATGAGTGCAGGTCCCCTGACATATTCCCATTCCTCCCAGGTCTGTAGCTGGGTTTTGGCCAAAAAGCTCTGCCAGGGGTGTGCAGAGGCCCAGCAGACACCGGGAGCATCAATGGCTCTGGTGGGACATGGTGCATGGGTACATGAGGAGCCATGAGCGAGTGCCTGCAGAGAGGTGGGTGCTGTCACCACACCTTGCTGCTTCTTGGGGCCCTTGGCCACATGGGAGCGAGGTGCTGGATTTTCCTTCTTCTTCCGAGGCTCCCTGGTGAATTTGGAATAGGCATCCTTGTCGCTCTCCTCCTCTCCCTTCTCCTCCTTTTTCTTCCTCAGCTTCTTCACCCCTGCACATTTCAAGAGATGCTCGTGATGGAGAGAACGGCAGGTGCAGGATGGGGCCACGGCGGGTTTTTGGGGGGGGACGGGGGGTGGGTGGGCAGTATGTCCTCCCATTTCTATGGGAGCTGTGGTGATCTGTGCTCACCCTGTGCTGGGGCATGTGGCTCCTCAACAGCCCCCGCCTCACCCGGCTTCTTCACCCGCAGCCGCCTTGGCTTGGCCTCAGGCTCCAGCCCAGGTTCCTGCCTCTTTTTCTTCAGCTTCTGCCCCCACAGATGGTGCTGCAGAGGTGGTGATGGCCTTAAACCCCTTTTCTCTTTGTGAGGCAACCCCTGCTCATACAGCACCAGCTCCCTTTCGGAAGTACAGCTGTGCTTTTCCTGGCCCAGCATGGAAGCAAGGACCCGCTGTGGGGTAGGGGGACACACTTTAAAATGAGTGACTTACCATGGGGCAACCCCCCAGGGAAGGCAGAGGAATGAAAACAGAAAGGACTGTTAGCAGACAAACAGAACAGCATCTACCCTGGGACAGGCAGCCATGTGCCAGCCCCAGAGACAAGGGGTTGACAAGTGATGCTGGCACTGCCCTGACACCATGGACTGTGTCAGCATAGAGGAACAAGCCACACTGTGCCACAGGGACCCTGGCTGAGAGCCACTCTGGGCACTGATGGGCACTCTGGGTACCTGAGCCAAGACAGGGTACACGAGGAAGGGCAGACAGCTTTGCTCCTCACCTCCATCTCTCACCCCCGCAAAAGGAGCTGCAGGGCCTTGCTGGGATGGAGGTCAGCAGGAGCAAGGAAGCAGGAGGATTAGACACAGCATACCTAATCCCAGTTAGCTGGGCTATAAATAACCCTGATTTACCAAATACAGAGCATGTGGGTCAGCACTTGGCTCTGGAAAGGAGGTGTTTGGGGAGTGGGTATCAGTTCAGGGCCCTCAGAAGGCAATCTAAGCAAATCCACATGCTCTAGAGCTTCCACTACCTAAGAGAGCATCTTTCCCCTCATAGGGATTGTGTTCCTCCCAGATGCTCCAGGGTGGTGGGTGAAGGTGTTTTGCAAAAGGTGTGATCCAGACAGATCCCAGTGGGATCCCAGTACTGCAAATTTGGGGAGGGGGAGCTGGGAGTCCCACAGTGAAGCTGGGAACCAGCTGTTTTCTTCCATGTCAGCAGCTCACACTGAAAAGCTCTTTCACATCCCCTAATCCCTTAAGCAGCTGCAGGGAGGACAGCCATTCGTTACTTAATGAAGTTCTTTGAGGAGGGGGTGCTGATTAAATTGGGTGGTGGATGAAATTGCTGCTGAGACCCCTCCAAGGTCGGGTGGTACGTGAGGGCTGTGCCGAAATGCAAGAAGGGGGTGTGGCTTTCAGGGTCACAGCCTGAGGAAAGTGAGTCACAGCTGACAGCTTAACTGAGGGGCTTAATTAAAGTGTTAACTAGGAACTAGGAAACCGCCACATGGGGTACTTCAAAGTCATGGAAAGGGGGTTCAGAAGGATGCACAAAGGAGAAGGGAGGGTTGTGGGATTTTCTCTACCCACCTGCTCTGAAGAAGGTTCCCAAAAACCTCGTGCCCTCCTGGGCTGCAGCACCCCAATAGAGAGCCCATCCAGCCCCTAGTCAGCCTTGGTGTGGGGCTCCAGGGTTTCAGGGTCTCTGATGACTCCAGCCCTTGAGGACAGCCCACAGCAGGGAATGGTAGCACATGGGATGGAGGGGAAGGATTTTTTCTCACCTGTTTGGGCTTCTGCTGCTGGGGGCTCCCTGGCTCCTCGCTGGGACTGTGGGGCACAGAAAGCAAAGCGGTGAGGGCTTTCAGACCTCCACAGACCTTGGGGGGCATGAGACTGCCCCAATTTTTGGTGAAGGAGGAAAGGTCAGCCTTTCATGTGGCTCCAGAAGCATTTTCCCCTGTCTCGACTGGGTCAAGCTTGTCTGACATCATCCTTTCTAGCAGGGAGCACAGGACAGGCTCTGACTTGGGCAAGGGTGACAGCAAGGAGGTTAATTTGGGGATTCCCCTCTAACAAACGCTTTTCCTCTCTGTAAGTCAATGAGCATCATCACACCAACCCCTGAAGCAAAAAGACTCTGATAAAACTGCTCATTAAATTGCATTTAAATTGAAAATAAGAGAAAAAGGCACTGGAGGAGATGGGAGTCTGGTGGGGACAGCCAGCACATCATCCACCCCACAGGTCACATTCTGCCCCATGGCACTCACCTGTCCGCAGCCCAGACCTCGCGCAGGATCTCCGTCTGCAACGGCATCGCTTCCTCTGTCCTGCCCCGACTGCCTCCCCTCCTCCCTGGCACCAGTTGCTGACCTTCTGGTGCTGCAGCCCCTACCAACCCAGGACCGGATCCATGGGGTCAGTCACAGCTACAATAGTCTGAGTGCTCTTACAGCATTGGCTCAGCCACCTCCACAAGCCTTTGTGGTGGGAGGAGGAGAAGGAGGAGGAGGAGTAAGAGCAGGTGAAGGAGATGATTAACTTTATTTCTCCTGAAACTCACTTAATAGGATTTCAGGGGCTGTCAGCCAGGCTTGCTGGGAGAGCAGCTGGCAGGGTAGTAATTACAGGAAAAGGGGGCTCTGCAGGAATGTAGAGGGTGCACAGCTCCTCCCTTGCTGGGTGGGGTCCCCAACACAGCAGAGCCACTCACTCCAGTCTGGTGTGGGCAGAGGAATGCTGTCTGACTGTATTTAGGGTTATCCTCCCTGGATATTCTTTTTTTTTTTTTTTTCACCCAAAAAGTCTTCTTGGTGAGAGAATAGCAGGATTTGGACTGGTTTGTGTGAATTGTGCATGGAAAGCCCATGCAGGGGTAGGCAACATCCCTGGCTCCAGGCAGTGCTAAGGGTTTCCATACGGACCACCACTTTCCTTCGACCCCTGTCCATGTCCCCAGGTCTCTTTGGGTGATGGGATTCACGCCCTGCAGCTCACACCTCACGTCGTTATTACACTACTTAATATTTTGTTCTTAATATTCCCTCTCAAAGGCCCCCGCAGATGCTGTTCGGTTGCAAAGCCGGACAAGCCAAGTGTCTCCACCGGACCCCTGGTCTTGCCCCGCCCACCACAGTCACCCCAAAACCCCCGCCACGCCGTGCCCGGTGCCACTAGATGGCATTTGAGCACCGCACACCGAGACCCACCAGCACTGCAAACTTCCGATGCCTCCGTACAATATCCTCCTGGTTTCCCTTTAATCTCTAAATCACATCACATCACCCACATAAGTTTAATTTCTTTTCCAAGGGATAGAAAAACACCAAGCTAAAATACATAAAAAATCTCCTTTAAAACGGGAAGCAAGCCCGGAAACCGCAAAGTGAGTTGGGTTTTTTTTGGTAGAGATTGTTTCCTATGGAAAATGTGGCTTGGGCTGCCCCCAAGGGACTTTTTTGCCCTGCCTGCAAGAAAAAAAAAAAAGAAAAAAAAATGTTTTTCAGAGACCCTGGGTCTCACAGCAGCTTCCCTGGGCAGCACGCCCAGGGATACTTTGCTGGCTCTAGGACATCTCAGGGTGGTGGAAAACCCGAGACCTGGATGAGCAGCTGGAGCAGCAGACCCCCAAAGAGCATCCCCTAGTCAGGACTTTTCAAAGCACAGCATTCTGGTCCTTCACTGGCTCTCCAGTAAATGACAGCACTGATAAAAAGGGGCAGCAGCATCAGACTTTGGAGACACCATTAATTTCTTAATTGCTGGGGCATCTCCACCTGGGGAGTACACACCTATCCTCCCCACAGCCACCTTCTTTGCTGAGCAGGATCCAGAAAAAAGTACTTCTTTTTTTTCTTTCAGTTGTTTATTTTCAAGCTCCAAAAGGCATATTACAAAGAGACAGGAAAAATAACAACTGGACAGCTGTTCTCACGCAGAAGTGACAGCATCCCTTTAGGATGGAGAGGGTTGATGGCTGAGGAGGCAGCAATATCGGTGCAAGGACACGATGCACCTCCTCACCATGGGAAAGCAGCTCACTAACAAGCTACAAACCCATGGTACCAGCTCAGACCCAGTCACTTGCCTTCTGAACCACATGTCAACCTGTTCTTTATTTTCTCTAGGTATGGATCCCAAATAAGCAATAAAACTCCCATTTGAAGTCGGGAGCCAAGAGATGGGGTGCAGGCTGCAGGCTGATTGCCTGCAAACCTGGATAGGCTTTTATTCTCTAAAGAAATAGAAACCAGCTTCTTCAGAAGATAAAATCTCTGTGTGTCCCCTTCCCCAAACAGTGCTTGACAAATTACATCCCTGCACTGAGGGGCTGCAGTGGAGGTGATGTGGGTCCTCACATCGAGCCTGGCTCCACTTTGCAACCCCTTTGGCCACAGGCAAGAATTCAGCAGGAGAGAAAGCCAACCACCATGGGTGAGAGAGCCCCGGGGGCCACGTCCCTGTCAGCCAGCCCTGGGCTCCCACCGTGCCCGTGCCCGTGACTCAGCGCTGCCCTGCGTGCTCAGGGCTGGCGCCGGGGCGGTGCAGCCCGGTCGTGTGCCGGATACAACCAGAGGCAGCACTGCAGCGTACAAGGAGTATGTCCCACATCCCAGCGCATCTCAGAGCACCCAGGATGCTGTGCTGACAGTGGATATAAAGCCAAGGGAGCTGGGAAAAGCTGTCTATGGAAACGTCCCAAGACGTAAGAGTTTTAATTTATTACTTTTTTCTTTTTCTTGCTCTTTAAAAGCTATTTGTTCCACGTGCGGTGGTCCCTTGGCATTCCGCCGCTCCTGGTCTGTCCCCGAGCGCACCCAGGCGGTAGGACAGGGTTTGTTTTTCTTTGCGGGGCTCTTTTTGCTTTCACAATCACACAAACTGTAACAAGCTTTACAAGAAAACACTGGCAAGTTCCGAGGTTTGGCAGAAACCTTTTTCTGTGTGGGCCAAGGGCAGGAGGCTCTCCTATCCCCTCCTCCTCCATCATACATGTCCTTCAGCCTCTTCATCTTCAGCACCAGGAGTTTTCAGTCCTTTTTCACAAGCTGCCTTCTCTGCTACTCTTTCCACCCCGGTTTTGCTAGCTGCTTCCTGCCAAACAGCAAATAAAGCACAGTGAGTTGGAAACAGAAAAAGGAAGAAGCAAGCAGGTGACAGTGATGCTGGGGATAGGCAGAGGCAGTCAAGCCTGGAAGGGCAAGCAAAATTGTCCCCAACAGCTCCCCCATGCTTATCAAATACCGCAGCTTACACTGGAGGGTCCTGTTTTCTCAGTGGCTGGTAGAGGTTAAACCTCACCAGCTCAGCCAGCTTTTGGGGAAGGTATGGGATCCCTGGGAACGATCGTGACCCACCTCAACAGAAGCAGAGCACTGACATGGAGTGAGCCTGGACAGATGGGTGCAGAGGCACAGAAGAGAGGGACGAGGAGGTAAGGCAGTAGCATTGGAGTGGAGTCACAGGTGCAGCCTGTCCACTCAGCTGGAGGTGTAGGTAGCATGTACACCTGGTCATGGCTGCAGGCCACCCACCCAACTGTGGGTGCAACCCATCCAGCGGGTGCAGGAGAGGAGTACTAAGGCACGGTGAAGCCTTATGCCTGCTCCAGCAGTGCCTCTTCCTGTCACAACCAGCTGCACAAGCCAACCACAGTGCCAGCAGATGGCCAGGGCAGCTCCACTCCCTGCCTAAGCCAGTTGCCCCAGCATGCTGCTCCCCAGAGTCTGCACTGGTCACTTAATCCACAGCCTCAACCTCCAGGCACCGGTTCAGAAGAACTTATACTAAAAATTACCCACACAGATAGCTTGCAAAGCTGTGTCCTCTCTCATTACAGTACACCAGGTTTCCAGTGGAATTTTGGATGAGAGCCTGTTATGAGACAGCGATCTCTCCATATGAGCAGAGGAGCAGGCTATTGCCTTACCAACTTCAGGAAATCCATACTATCATGTCTCAAAATACCCTTGGCCTTGTCAGAGATGGAATGATATTTCATTTTACTGAAGACCAGGAGTTCATCAGTAGTCACTAGCTGGGAACAGCAAAATTAAGTACCAATGCTGACTCTGTTATCAGCCCATGTGAGCTCACACTGCAAATCCTTTTATTGATGACTGAGCATCTGATGGCAGTGTCTGCACAAAAGAGACCAAGAAGTAAAATGCTTTCTCCCATTGCAGCAGGCTCTATCCCTCCATCCTCAGCCTGATCTATAATTCAATTTGGTTTAACCCATCTCTTCTCATCATAAGCCTGACGAGCATCCCTCAGTGCAGCCTGCTAGATAGCCAAAAATGGGCAACAGTCACCTTTGCATCCCTCTCTGCAAACTTTGTGAACATGTTTGCGTAGATCCTCCGGTCCCGGTCATTGTGCTCCTTCGTTTTCTTCTGGCACACAGAGATCTGAGATTTTGCTGCTTTGTTCTGTGGATTCACTTCCAGCACTTTTTGAAAGTCACACTTTGCCAGCTCGAACTCGTTCATCAATAACCTGGCTTCGCCCCTCCGGTACAAGCCCTTCTCATTGTCCTGATCCAGTCCCAGTGCCTGGAAACACACAAGTCCCCTTAGCACCCTGGAGCTCCCCCCAAAAATTTAATGGTCAAAGCCTCATTAAATCTGTCAAAATTAGGAGAAGGTGGTTTCAAGTCTCCAGAGCACTTGCATCTTGCTCAACAAAAATTACCTCTTCTCCATCAGCAGATGGCAGGTCACTAATATAGATTTTTATTTCTCCTTGCTTAAAATACCCTTGAGTGTGACAGTCAGTGGGAGACAAATTCACAGGCAAGAAATCAGGTGTAAACACTCAACCCAAGCCCTTTAGTCTCCTTGTTCTAGCAATGACATTATTTTCCTTTAGTAAAAGCCATATATGCACCTCAGATATGATTTACCTTTTAGATTAAGACAACTAGCTTTATTAGCTTTCCCACATGCAAGATGCTTAAATTTAAGCCTTTTGTAAAAGAATTCAGAGTTTCCTGACAAAGACAAGGTCAAAGACTTTTAGGGACTGGCAAAGCCCCATCCCACTCCTCAACTGGCTTGGAGATCCACTGCAGCTCCACACAGCCTGCCTCTGTCACACCCAGAGCAGAACTCAGTGCCCAGACCCAGCCTGAGCAGATCTAAACAGCACCCCAAGGTCATCAGTCTACGCAGATCCAGTCTCATGGATCTGGCTTAGGAAGAAAAGCTGTTGTAAACACACGTCCAGGTGGATTTTGAACCCCAAAAGGCACTTTTGGTCCTAAGCACACAGCATCCATGGAGACCTCGAGGTGCAGAAGGGATGCCATCATCCCATTGCTGTTTGGAAATTGTTTCTTATATGAAAAGAAATCAAAAAAATTCCCAACGAACTCCCAATGAAAACAAGCAGGAGAAGAGGATGCTCCATCCCCGGGGCTCATGCACCTCTACCTTATCACAGCACTCGACAGCTTTGGCGTACTCTCGCAGCTTCAGGTAGCACATGGCCAAGTTGAGGAAAGCAGCCAGGAGGAATGAGTCAGAGGCTTTTGACTCTTTTTCAGACAAGCCATACTCCATTTCCAGCCAGGACACAATCTTCCCATACTGAATCACTGCCTGCAGGTACTTGCCTTCCTGGGATGGAGCAAAGAAGAGGCTAGAGGAACCCAAGCGACAACACTCATCTGCTCCCGCAACATCTCACAACAGGTAACAAGTGTAATGTGGTGTGTTCAGTAAGTAAATGAAAGGAGGAGGATGCTGAACACCTACAAAAACAGCAGGCTTGGGAAAAGCCAAGTCAGAGCAGTGGGGAGGATTGGGATGCCCCAGCTGTGACAGGGAACTCCAAAGCCTCTCAGCATTAGCCCTAGCCCAGGAAGGGTTCAATCTGCTGTCCTGCTCTTCAGGGAGCACATACAGCCAAGGAAACACTGGGAAAGGAGGAGATATCTCGGGGAGCATCAAGGAGTGAGCAAAAGACAGAGGGAGGGCAGGACTCGCCTTCCCCAGCACTGTATGGGGGCACATGGTTTCTCTGACACTGACAGCTGCCAAGTCATGCATCTGATGTCACCCCAAATTAATTTCCAGCTCCCTTCCTTCACCTCTGTCATCCCCAAGTTCACAAACCTTGAAGTACATTGTGCCCTTCTCCTTGACGACAGCAGCCTGCTCCAGCTTCTCTTTGGTGTCCATCTCCCACGACTCCTTGGCCTGCAAAGGAATGCTTGGAGCACTCCTAGGGGAGTGCAGCAGCCCCTCTCCCCCGGCAAGACCACACCATTCTCTGGGACAGCCTGTTCATGCTCAGGGCTCACCAGGGCCACATCCAGAGCAAGGAGCCAACTCTGCTCCTGTTGCAGCCAGGGCGATGGCAGGGGACCCATCTAGGGATGCGGCACAGCAGCACCTGCCCCATCCCATGGGCTTCTCCTGTATCCCATTCCCAGGCTCCTCATGGGCACAGACAAGCTCCTCAGGGCTAGCTGGCTGGATGCACCAGCTCCTATCTGTGGAGCCCAGGGAAAAAAAAGGGGAGAAAAAAAGAGGAAGAAAATAAAAGAAAAAAAAAGAAAAAAGAAACAAGGAGATAAAAAAGAAAAAAGGAGAAAAAAAAGAGAAAAAATGAGAAAAGTAAAAAAGGAAAAAGAAAAAGGAGAAATAAAAGAAAAAGAAAGTACAAAAGGACAAGCCTAGAAACAAATAAGAGACCCAGCCTTGGACCCCAGCCACAAGAATAAAACAAACCAACAGAGAAGAACAAATTAAGAACACGAAGCTCCTTGGTGACGTGTCCACTTCAGCGGGGGTCAGGCTTGCAGACACACCAGGGACAAAGGCTGGATGCTACACAGGGCCCAGCATTCCTGTAATCTTAGAAGGGACCAGCATGCCTCTGCCCTCACCTTCTCAAAGCTTTTCAGTGTAACCTCGTACACCAGCTCAGCATTTGCCTGGATGCCATATTTTGGCTTCCCCGCCTCGCCAAAGCCGTACCTGGAGGGCAGAAGGAGGCAGTCAGAGGACGGGGGGAAACCTTTCATTTCAGCAGCCCTTGGCCATAAACGCAGGCCCATGTTCCCAATTCTGTTTTCACATCCAAGCTCCCTGCCCACAGCTTTCTAACATTTTGGGGCCAGGATTATGTTATTCTCCACGAGCAAAGATACCTGACAATATACAATGCATTATATATTGGGAATCAGCCCTTCTGGCTGCAAAGCCATCTTTTTCCATAGGCTTCTCTCCAGCCTAAGGACCCAGCCCTGGCAATTTCCAGGGAGACATCAGACACTGGACTTGGATAAAGCCCTTTTACCTGATTTTTTTAAAGCATCTCAAGATTCTTGTCTGCACACCACTAGTCTCTCTTACTATTCCTGTTGGCATTGCTAAACTGCAACTCTCCTGGAGAGTTCTGTTTTCAGGACAGCCATCTTCCATAAGTGCTAAAACAATGCTGGAAGCTGAAACTCACACAGCATCCCTGCAGGGATGATCCTTACCGTGGGCTGAGGTAGAGAATACAGTGCTCTCCCCTCTGCATCTTCTCCAGGGCTTTGTCAATGCCAATGGGGATGTCGTGGTCCTCTCCTTCGCCCACAATGAACTTCACATCTTTGCAGTCAAACCTGCTGCCGCCACAGAATCCCTCCAGATGAACTGCAGGGGGACAAGAGGGAATGTGGCAGGATCACACCCACAGTTACCCAAACCTTGGAGCAATGTGGGCTCCAAAGTACCAGAAAGTATTTTATCTCTCCCAAAATTCAGCAAAGCCTCCAGCCCTGGAAGAGGGAAGACAAAGGGCTGGGGGCAGCCAAGGACCTCCTGGTGCAGAGAGGGATAGGGACAGCTTTGGAACATTGCTGAAAAGCAAGGCAGGCATATCTCGTCTAACCAAGGACCAAACAACAGATAAACATCGTGACTAATATGTTCCCCTTGTACTCAACTGCACGAGTCAAGTCTTACTGGAACTGGATATTGCTCCTGGCACGCCGCCACACAGAGTTTATCACGGTGATTACAAATCTTCTATACAGCACTATACTGCCTTGACTTCTACCTCGAAAAACAAGGCCATGTTCTCCTGACTCTCAGAACTCAAAGTACAAGATAAACTTTTTATTTTTAATCTTCAACCAGTAACTGTGCTGTTCCAGCCCCAGACGCTGGCAGAAGTGCAGCCAGAGCGGACACTGGGTACCTGGCACATCCACCACCTGGCACTCCTGGCTGTGTTTCCACAGCAAGATTATTCTTTATTTATTCAATCCTGAAGATGTTCCAGGCCTTGGGGACGCTTTTACGATCTTTGCATTCTGCTTGCAGGGTACAAGGCATACACATGCAGGCAGGCACAAAGTAAAAGCAGTTTTATAAGGAACTCCTGCATACTGTTAAAAAAAGTGAAACAAAAAAAAAAGCTTTTTAAGAGGAAAAATTCACAATGGGCATTCCTGTTGTCACAACTGTGCTTAGGGATTTTGTGGCCTGCAAGGATGTGAGCCTAATCTTTGCTTGGAGAGAGCAGGATGCTACCTGAGATGCTACAGGGCACTGACCATCCCACTGTGGTGGCAGGAGGTGAGCAGCAGGACAAGCCAAAGACGGCACTGTACCAGAAACAGCCATGAGGATCTGGGCTCTGCATTGGACAGCTGAAGCCTGCGCTGAAGGAAACCCACCCATCTCCACCTCACGATGCTGCCCTGCCCTGGGGCCTACAGGAAGTCCCCAGTATGAGATGCACGGACCAAGCAAGCCCACAGGCAGTCCCCCATTCCTACGGCAGGTTCAACCCTTTAGTTCCTGCCACCAAAGCCATGCTAGGACTCAAGCGTGGAGGAGCAGAGGATGCCAGCTTCCCAGGACGCATCCTGCATCCACACTGGTGCACAGTGACCACCAGGCTCAGGCTGGTGTGAGCTCACCCATCTTGGGATGAGGACAAAAGGCAAATCCAGCTCCTACAGAGTCAACCTCTGCTTCTGCACTACCCAATACCAATCTGGCTATTTCCTTAGGCATAGGAAAACTGAAAAGTTCTGCCTAAAATACAGGTAACCCAGCAACCCCACAGCACTGTGCCATCTCCCTGCATGTTCCTAGGGAGTACAGATCCATAATCCCTGACCTCAAAAGCAGCACTACAGCCCTCCCAAGTTCCACACCCTCTGTGGGACGTGGCAGCAATAGGAAGATCCCATGTTAGAGTAGGATGCACGAGAAGATGCCATGATCCTCCCTTTCAAGGACAGTTTTTCTCTGTTTTAATTGCACATAAAATAAGGCAAAGGGGGGGAAATCTCCACTCAGGTTTCCAGGAGCAGGTCAGCTGGTTGCAGTTGCTCTTGGATTACAGAGAAAAAAAAGCCACTGAAGGAACATCACTCTGGTTGCAGCTCTGACTTATTGTTCTCTCGGTGCCTGCAGCGATTTTGTTTTTGAAGAGCTGAGAACAGAGTGTACTGAGTGTGGCTGGCACACGAACTTGATGTGCTGACAGCAATTTGTACTCAGATTAAAAACGGAGAAGGAGGAGGGGTGGGGGGAAAGGATGTAACAAAAGCTGGAATGACAGATTTTGAGTGCAGCCCAGGTTTTAGAGATCAGAACTGTGAATTAAGGTCTATAAAACTTAAAACCTATAAAAACCTGGAGATACTTGCTCCTGGAAGCATGGTTTCTTCCAGCCTAATTCCAGCACCTCCCAAATACACAGCTGAGGGAAACCATCGCTGCCCCCCTGGATCACAGCCTCATCCCAGGGTGGGCTGCCTGTCCCCACAGCTGCTGTGCCATCCCCAGCATAGTGCCCACCATAAACAGAGTTGCATTTGTTACAAAAAAAAAAACACCAACCAACAAAATCTATTTGCACCCAAAACATTCACTGCAAGGCTGCCTTCTTCTTGTCCTGTCTCACGGGGATGTATTTAAGGTGGTCTCAGGGCTCTGAACATATAAGGATGTGTAGGTCTCAATGAATTAGGGGCCACAGCAGCTACAACCAGAAAGGCTGGCAGGGCCAGTGGGCTGCCACAGGGATCAGCCCAGCATTCCCCATCCCTGCCCTACACGAGCAGCGCTGGCTCCGCAGGATGGCCTGGCAGGGCATCTACCTCTGTGATTCTGAGACACGGGTGCTCCTGCTCACGGCATTTGCTCCAATGGACACATTAATTTGAAACAAGTAAAGCAAGGATAATGGGCTGTGGGACATTGGTGTATGAAGAGACTTGTTATTTGGCTCCTTATGTCCTTTCAAAGAGATGATTCCTGGCTGATGACCTCCCCCGCCCCCCCCAGCCCCTGCCTGAGCCTGAGCATCATCACGTTCCAAAAAACCTCAAGCTGCAAAGGGAACAACTACAGAAGGACCAGTGCTCTTCCTGTCCTCCCCACTGAGCACAGCGCTGTCTTTAAAGAGCTCAGACCTAATCAAAATAAAGATGAGAGCTGGATCTGTGATGATTTCAATTATATTTAGTCTTTCAGTTTAATCTTTGGGGTAGCAGAGCCAGCTTGAAGCTTAGCTTGTGGCTGGTCCACAGCTACGATGCTCAGCACGGGAGAGGCAGACAGTCAAATCTGAGTCAAAACCTCATTTTTCCTTAAAAAAAGCCTAGTTAGAAGAACCGGCCATTTAAGGCCGCAAGCTTTATAAGCTGTCACAGCTCAGATTCAATTTCTCAGTCGCTAAAGGGACTTTAGGATCTTTGCACAGGAGCTCTGGAAGTGAGAAAAAAACTAAATGTGTCCCATATGAAGCAAGCTCTGGGTCTGTGTCCCAGTGGTTCTTGGGAAAGAAAAAAACCAAAATCCAAATCTGGCTTCTCCTCTCCAGCCTCATGAAACATGTGCTCCAGAAATGGGATCAGAACAGGGAGAGCCCAATGGGACCTGAGCACCTCATCCTCCCACGAAAGCTGAAACCACCCTTATTACAAGCAAACCCCTTGTAATAATCTCCTTCTCCCCCATGAGCAGCCCTCTGGCCATAGGGAAAGGAAAAGGCCCCGTTCTGCAAGAGATGCGATAAAACCCACCAAAAATACCATCAACATTGGAACAAAGAGGCCAAAGAAGGTGCCAAGCGCCTGTATCATTGCCCAAAACACTTAGCAAGTGTGTGTTCCTCCATGAAGGGAGGAAGGCCTGGCAACTGATGCTTTGGAGGCAAGGCAGAGCCAGGGGTTTTGGCAGATGGCACATCACAGAGCATCTTGGACACTGCAGTGAGATGCAAAAGGGTCAGGGGAAATGGCAGAGTTCTGAAACCCCATGGGCTTTGCTTCTTCCATCCTCCCCACAGATGCTGGCTGAGCAGCTCTGGGCTCAGGGTTTTCCAACCAGCCCTCTAGGGCAGCAGCTCTAGTAGAGCCATCACAGGGACCAGCCAAGGAGAGCTCAGAGGTGCATCCCTGGGTCAACAGTACACTGCTGCTCTCCCAGCCTCTTTCCACCCCATCTGGCCTCCGGATGGATGTAACTGCATCCTATCATGATGCACAGCCACCTACAGCCTGTACAGTAGGTCCTTGCCAGGGAGAAGAAAGTGGAGTGGCTCAGGACAGGCTGATCCCTCCAGCTCCCCTACAAGGCACTAGCACTCACTCTCCACAGTGGCACCCTCATTAGGGTTGGAGTAACCTTCCCCCTTTCTCTTGATCCTCCGGATTATTCCTCCATCCTCAAACAAGTCCTCGCCTTTGAAGTCAAGCAGCTCAACCTAAAAAAAATAAAGAAAAAGTGGGTAGAGCTTAGGGAGGGGGGAAGGAGAAGGGAAAAACAAAGCCACAAAGCAGCAGTTCATCCTCTGGCTGGAGAACCAAGCCAGCTTATTCTCCATTCAGCTGAGAAGCAGAAGTTGTCCATAAAATCCAGCTCCAAACCACAGCATAACACACACAATTTATTAGAAATTGGGGCACATCCAGTACCTGAAGCATAACACAAAGTAACAGTAAAAATAAATGTATTAAACCTGTAAGGGTACAACACAGCTACTGCTGGAAGATGCTGTGAAAGTTGCCTGGGACCAGGTTAGGCAGGAGTTTCCCCTTCATCCTCTGATGGGACCAACTCCAACCCACAGCTTAGTCCACACTCAATTTGGAAAGACTAAGCCTTAATTTAGGACAGACCCATTCCTCCTGCCTTGTCCCAATGAGCCCAGCCCAGGAGGAATGCCTCGTCTCAGCAACCACACTGTGCCAAAAATGTGGCTTTCCTACCGCTCGACAGCACTAATCATTTTTTAGCACCTGGAGGCATTTCCCACCTGCTTTCTCCTTCCCCTGTACATGTTTAAACCAGGAATCTGCCCACTCCCTGCCCCAGCACCAGTGCTCTCCTCACCCAGAGTTTCAGTCCCAGCCTCCCAGCTCAGACACACATTTCTGAGAAAACCTTGGCAGTAGTTCCTGGAGCAGAGAGACACGCTTCAGGAATCCAAGCTAGGTTTTTTGTTGTTGGTTTTTTGTTTTTTTTTTTTTAATTATTATTATTATTTCTAAGCTGGTTAGCAAGGCAGGAAGGGAGCGAGTGAGCTCATCCATGCGCCAGCTCACCAGCATTACTCACCTCGAAAAAGAGGGTGGCATTGGAGGGGATTTTGGGGGCACTACCAGCAGAGCCGTATGCATAATCGGGTTTGCAGAGCAAGTAGCAGATCTCTCCCTTCTTCATGGTAGCTACCCCAATGTCCCATGCCTTGATTACCTGACCTAGGAGAGAGGCAAATGTCAGGCAGGAGGGAGCAACCAGCAGCCCAGAAAAAAAATAGCCAGAGTGCTGTAAGGATGGCACCTAAAAAAAGCCCATACACCCAAGCTACTTAGGGCAGGGCTGACATCGTCCATCTGTACTGAAACAGGGTCAGTTGATCCCACCAGAATGATCCCACCTGCTCCTACTGGGATCATCCCACCTTCCAGCATCCCCATGGATGAACTTCCCTGGACCAGCTCACCCTTGCCCAGGCTGAAGACAAAGGGCTCATTCCGATCGCGGCTGGAGTCAAATTTTTTACCATTGGCCAGTTTGCCTTTGTAGTGGACATAAACCTTGTCTCCGATCATGGGAGACTCATCTTCACTCCCAGGTCGCTTAATGATCTGTGAGAGAGAAACCACCCATGAGCAGGGGCCATAGGACAGCTGAGGATACGTATGGAAGGAGAGAGAGAGATGCACACACACATGCATTTACATAAACATATATATATATATACACACACAAGCATATACACCACAGTGCCGCTCTAAACAAACAGAAGGCTCAAGTGGGAGTCATTCAATTCATCCTTCCATCAGCCCCCTAAAAATAAATCTCAAACCAGAGCCAAGACAATGGAGTGGGACAGGGCTGGGAGGGGAGACCTGCCCGTACTTTGCGGAGGCGTCTCGATAAACACTGTGGTTCGAAACCCAAAGTGAATGCAATTACGTTCACTTTCTGTCCGTACGCATTTTACTCGCAGGGGTGTGTCTGTTCACTACTCACTTCTTGTCAACACTTCTTTTTTTCTGAATGCTACAGCCTGGAACAAGCAGTTCTCAAGCTGAGGATGGAGCAGGGGAGGATGCTATTCTTAGAGGAAAGGTGCTATTTAACTGGAGAAGAGCAAGTGCTGGGGAGCAGATCTATCCAGAAATGGCTCTGAATATGAAAAGGGGGTGTGGAGCAGACTGGATGACCTCAGTAATGTGCTCTTTCTAACGTCTGTGAGTCACATACAAAAATTCTTTGTGGATTTACAGCTAATAATCTGATTAGGAACACAATGGCAGTGAAATTCATGGAGCAGCTCAGTCTCAAACACCCCTCCCATCCTTCTTCACTCCAATTGATGCCTTTCAAATGAAAGAACTCAATCCTACAACCCTGAAAGTACTATGTGACCCCAAGGACTGGGGATGCAGCCCAGCAATGTGACCATGCACCCCAAAATGCAGAAAGAAAGGCAGGACATTCTTGGAAGCCCCCCTCACCTTCAGAACCCCTCGGTCTTGAGCTGGTGTGATGTCCTCCCCGCGCTCAGTGAGGGCCACTGCCTGCACCTCCCCTTCGGTCTTGGTGGCCTCATCAGTGGTCATGGTCTCCTGGCATAGGCACTGGACCTGGGGAAACACAGCATGCACCCCATCAGCCCAGCAGGATCATGAAAGGTGGTGTAAAAGGAAATGGTTTATCACCCTTCATGGAAAGACAATGCACAGCAAGCATCTTCTCCAAAAACCAAAGCAAACCCAACACCAAAAGAATCTCAACTATCTGGGTGGATAAAGAGAAAATTCACAGCAAGAATCTAAGGAACTGAGGTTTTTTGGGCAAACTGCTGGAGCACTGTCCTCCCACCACCACCACATAAGCAGCCAAGGTGCCAGAAAAGCCACGTTTTCCATCAAACAGAGACTTTTTCCAATGGTTCCTGGTGAAAAAGGAATTGCTTATGGTTTCAAAAACATATTTCCTGATGATTTCCTTCAGACTGTAAGGCTATTTTGGTAGTTGCACTGCTGCATGACACGTCATCAAGAAAACATGTGACAGAGAATTGGAAAGCAATGGTTTTTTTCAGACATAAACCAGATCTATTAAAGTCACTCTAATTGTGAAACTTTCCCACAGTCTTTGGTGTGGAAGCTGATGTTAACCAGCAGGAGAAATCATTCATTTGGGGGATTCAGAAAGAGCAGAGAAAGGATGTTTTCAGCTCCAAGGGCAGCTAAGTCATGTTGCAAGAAGAATTGTGTTCCTCGCACCCGAGTGGAAAGGGAAGAACTGGAGCCCAGCCCCCCCCCAGCACAGGAAGCCACCGAGACACAAAGAGCTCTGCAATGGAAGAAGCAAAGTGAAAAATAAGGGAACTACTTATTGCAATGCTCAACAGTCTTGAGGGTGATATTTAACTTTCCTCTGCTCTGCTGAGGTTTCAGATGGGAACATCTTAAAAAAAAAAAAAAACACTGAAAAAGCAACTTGTGGTGAGATCCACTATCTTGCAGGTACTTATATACTGGAAAACATGCCATCAATTACTTTGGAAGAAATGTTTGATGATGCGGGTGGTGAAGCACCGGCATAGGTTGCCCAGAAAGGTGACGGCTGCCCCATCCTTGGAAATATTCCAGGTCAATTTGGACAGACCTCTGAGCAACCTGGTCTAGTGTAAGATGTCCCTGCTTGTGGTGGGGAGGTTGGACTAGAAGGCCTTTAAAGGTTCCTTCCAACCCAAACCATTCCATGATTCTATGATTCTGGTGCTGGGATGGTCTCCAAGCCCTCACAGTTCACACTGCCCTGCCACCACCACGGCCTTCCTCTTGGAGATGAGCAAGGAGGTAGTGGCACCCATCATGGCATGGGCATGCCATTGGCACCATGTACCAGCTCAGGGCTTCCTGGCACAGATCCTGTGCATCACCACGGACACAGCATCCATAACCCATTTATTAAGGACCAGAAGCCTGAAAAGGGGAGAAGCTTGCCAAAGAAGTGCCACCTCCTGGGACAGAATCTCCCAAGGTCCACCAAGCAGCCACCGCTGGGATGCAGAAGACGGAAGGGGAGGTGCTGGCTCTGGCTTGCCGGTTGCTAAATCCCACCAAGAGACATCTAAAAATACACCATACACATCCTTCTCATTATTTTTCTACGTAAGCAATTAGAGGAGTCATCCAGGGAAGCTGGCCAAGGCGAGCGGGAGGGGAGACGCTCTGCGTCAGAAGCAGTGGGAGGGATGGAGCCCACAAGACCAGCTATTAAGATGTGGTCCACATTATAAAAGAGCTCACGACTTCTCCGTCCAGCAAAAACAGTTCCAACTAGGTTAGAAAAAAGAGCATGCTGCTCCCACTTATATCCCATTTGGAGCAACAGAAGGAGGCTGGCTAGGGTCCAAAATCCCAATTAATTTGAAACAAACAGTTGTAGGGCAAAAAGAAATATCTGCTACTCCCTGAGACTTAAATGCCAAGCCGACAGGGATGTCACTGAGAGCTGAGCAAGTTTGCTGGAGGTGTCAGAGCCTGAATCTTCTCATTGCAGGACCATGTGTACTCTGGATATAGGGAGGGAACTAATTAATTACCCTGCACAAAAGCCCATGGGTGTTTCTGACACAACAAGCAGATTCTGCTCTCCCACTGCTGCTACTATACACAAGTTAATGTTGTACATCTGTAAATGAAGCCAGGATAAACCATCCTCCCTCCTGCTTCATTTCCCTGGGATATAAATATGGACAGGTAGGAGAAGTACAGAAATCCGTGTCATAAAAACAAGCCATTTAATTTTACAATTCCCCCTCCACCCAGGTGTTTGCTATCTTCCAATCCAGAGAAATGGGTGAAAATTCAGAGCGGAGAACGGGATGCAGATGTCTGACCCCAGGCTGAGGACAGGCAGGTATCACACATGTTAGGGTTTCACCAACCACACGATCCCGATCCCAAGCCACGTTTCCTAGAAATCAGCATACCAGGAATTTGTCAGCTCCAAATGGAAACTTCATGTTGCAGATCTCAGAGGCTCACAGAAGGGGAAAAGGAGGAAGAAGAGCAAGACTGGGGAGTGTTTTGAGGGGTCTCACCTTGCCACCATGCAATTGCTGGAGAAGGATTGAAGGTCCAGGGAGAGTCTGGGGAGGTGTTCACCCAGAGACACAGTGGGAAAACACCTGGTAAGAAGAGGTGGGGGTGGAGGGGAAAGAAACCACATGTGCTGTATTCTAAAAGAGGATTTCAGGATTTAAGAAGAAGGGAGAACTGAGACAGCAGTTTCGAGCTACAGATGATGCTCCACCATGGTCAGAGAGCGGTGATGAGACTATGGTGAAAACTTCCCATGGCAGCTCCTCTGCTCATTGCAGCCATGGGAAGATGTTTTGACTTGCTGTTTCCACAAACAGTGTTTAGCATCTTACCATCTGCTTTTAAAAAAATAAACCAAGGCTATATTTGGTCCAATTTTTTTACTAGAATGAAAATTAGCAGGATGGAAAAATAAGAGTTGGCTGCTCTGGCGTTTAGTTTTTAAGACTCACTTAGCACAAAGTGCTTGCACTTCCACAGCACCACAACAGCCCTAAAAGCTTCAGATTGCAACCCAGGAGGGAGTTTCTTTAAAATGCAAAGGTCAGGCTAAAAAACAACAAAGCTAAATGCATAGCAGGAAGATGGGCTATGAATGCTAGTGAACATCACCCCGAATCCCAGCCCCTCAAGCTAAGCAGCAGCATGGGGCTGCACCTCCATCCTTCATCCCCACCACACCTGCCGACTGATAATGAAGAACAACCCAATTAGCATAGCAGCTGGCTCTCTCCACTGTCCCAACGGGGTTCCAGTTCCCCTTTGATCACAAGAATTACTTTTTCGGGTAAAATATCTTCTTGCTGAGCAAACTTGTCCCTGTGCAGCAGGAGAGGGAAGACCAGAGCAGCGATTTTACCCAGACGAGAGTGTTTTAAGACACCTGCAATGCCAACCTGCTGAGCACAGACCCAGTAGATGGTGATAATAAATTCAAATTGGGATTACTAACAAAATACGACCTTCTTAAGACCAACAAGGCAGCTCCACGTAATCCTCAGCTCCATCCCAACACATAAGGATGCACCCAGACATCGAGTGCCATTTCTCACACTCACACATCACAGCTTGAATTAAATATTAACATTTTTTCTTTTTTTTAATACTGGTCACTTGACTTTTTCCTCCCTCCTTTAAAATAAACAGGGAAGCCATAAAATTGAAACTATTGCTCACATGGATCGATTTACTTCCTAGCACACACATTGTGCAAGCAGCCAACATCCCAGCAGGCTGGGCATGGCAACTTTTATTCAAACAAAAAACCAAAATGCAAACAGAGCTGCTTTAATTGCCCAGCACTCTAACAAACCTCCATCATGCCCAGGGTGAGCCCTGACTCACTAGGGACCGAAGCAAACTCCCTGCTCTCCTTTATCTACGGCCAGTCCCTGCTCTAGGTTTAACACCTTCTGCCCATGGAAACCCGAGCTTCTCCCAGGAAAAACGGTGCCACCCATCCCATGGGGACATCTCAGAGGGGGATGCAGACACCAATCACCTCCCAGGAACCAGAACATATCAGTCTATTAACCCAAGAGCAGCAGCAAGGGAAGGTTTTTAAACAATGAAGAGTAACAAAGTCAGTAAACTACTGCATGCAACTAACTTAAATACAACTGTGTATGTTCCCATCACACTTGCTTAACCATTCTGCCTAGCTAATATTTTTAAGCTTCTGAAATGGTTTTAGTTAAGATCCAAGTCATAACTATCTTTTTTTTTAAATACGTGAAATAAGAGCCTGCCCTCAATTTCAGCTGCAGCGAGAGGAACAAGTGAGCAGGACGGGTCACTAATCCCTGCCAGAAAAAATATTTCAGGCGAAAGCAAGTTGGGTTCAGTCTCTCTGCATCCCCCAGAGTGAGGCAAACACGCCCATGCCAACAACACACAAAAGACTTCCAGAGAGGGGTGGTTTTATCCTCCCAGTTTACAATATAAACCCATTAAAAATAATCTGGCTCTTTTGCTAGTTACCTAGCAAGGCAACAGCAAGGAAATGCTTGCTTGGTGCTTTTTCCAGGTTGCTTCAAAGTAAAAAAATTCACAGATAAAATTCCTTTGAACTCTCTTGCGAGCATCCCATCGGCAGCCTGTGGTCCATCCCCTCCAGTGTGGGGACCCAGAGACACAACACCTTTCGCTTTCACGTGAAATGGAAAAAAAAAAGGCAGCGTTTTCTTTTCTTCCTCCCTTATTTCAAAAGATGAATGTATACTGGGGAGAGCAAAAGCCATAAACATTTATGGGTTGTTGCTCTTCCAAGGGAAAAAGGTGCTAGGGACAGGATGCAGTTGAGGATATTTTACACATCGATGTTCTACAGCTCCTGGCCCCCAAAGCCATCCCTGGCCCCAGCATGGATTTCAGCTGCTCCCATCACAAAAATCACAGCAAGATTCTGCCACAGGCAACAGATTTCAAAAATACTGGAAAAAAGAGGAATGCAGGAGCCAGCAGCAAAGCCTCTGCTCTGCATCAGCAGGGAGAGGCAACAGCCTGCACCCCTCCTGAGGGGCTAACACAGCTTTCGATGATGGTTAAAAGAAAATAATTAAGGAAATATGGTAACAATAAATGTATAAATAGCTATTCCACACCTGCCTGAGCTTCTTGGGAGATGGTTGGCAGAAGGGCCAAGTGCTGCATCCTAACAAGCTCAGAGGCCTTTATATACAGACACATCACAGTGGGGAATGCAGTGGGGAAAGCTTTCATAAATTAGGATTATGTAACTGTATGGGAAAAAAATATAATAATACAGACAAGAAGGTTACATAAACCATCTGTAAAATGTGAGAAAGTACTTGACATCCCACTACCCACTCCTTGGCACTCTCTAACTGGGTCTTTTGCCATCAAAAATAAGCAGGCTCCTATCAATCATGTCTTCTCCCCTGGTCCAAACAACCAGGGAGAACAGACCCAGCCAGGCTTTTTGGAAGGAAATATTTCACCTCTGGCTATTAAATGTGAAGTTTCCCTCCCCATACAGCACACCCCAGTGAAGTCTAAGCCCTCCACAGGCAACTCAAAGCAGCCTCCTGGCAGCAGCTACATCAATGCTGAGCAAATTCAATTTCAAGGGACAGCTTGAGGAGACTAAAATAAATACAAAATGGGAATAAACAAGAAACTCCTTGTTTGCCAATTCTGTTTTGATTCAGTCTTTTCTCCAGAATAAATCTGACAATTAAAGTTAGATATTTTTTTTTCCATTTCTAAAAGCATCTCATTGCTTGCAACAGATTTCAGGCTTTCTCCAAGAAACTATCAGCCAGGTGACCCCAAATGGCAGCACCCCCTGGCAGTGCAAATGCTGTATTTAACCACTTATCTCCATGCACGAGGGCTCGGCAGCACCTCGAGAGCCCAGTGCCGAATCCCAAGGGGGGATCCCCGACTCAGCATCCAGCATCGCTGCCAGCAGTGCTGGCGCCCAGAAATAACTCGGCACACAAGACCATCTGCACCAACGGTCTATAAATGCCAAATTATTTTGGGCAAAATGCAATTCCCAGCATGTTGTGAAACACCAGCTTGTTCCTCTGCCAAATCAGGATTTCTTGGAGAGGACAAGGAAACGTCACAAGTGGACAAACTGCAGGAGGGGGTCCAGGGTGGCCATCACTGAGGGACACTGCAAGGTGCAGGCAGGGTCAGCCCTTGGGCAGAAGGAGGGCTGGGGACTGAAGACACTGAAGCTTTGGGGATGATGCTGGACCATCACCAGGGCTCCCGGACCCCTGTCTGCCCAGAGGAGCAAGAACATGCACATGAACACACATGGCATGGGCACACGTACACACTCGTGTACATCACTTGAGGGTAGAAAAGGAGCTCTGCATCCCACCAGGGCTCCTTGACGGGATGGGGGTCACATCCTAGACACAATGCTATTTGCCGGGTGGTGCCTCCTAGAGTTCATTTTATTAAGTGATTACATTTAAAATAAATCCAAAAGTACTTGAAATAAGAGTATTTTTAATGAGGCTAAGTATCTAAGAGTCATACTGCTATTTACAAAGATGGGACATTGCAGGCAGAAGATGATTTAACTGCAGTCCCTCATCATCCCAGCTCTTCACTTCAGACAGTTACTTTGGTATTATTTTCCTAATTTTCCAACACACTCACTTGCAAAATCAGAAATCCTTAGTAATAACAATTACTAGTTACGGAAAAAGCTTGTTGGCTCCATGACAAACAAATTACATGAACAACTTGTACATTAGAGCACTCACGGCCACTTCTGTACACCCACAAACATAGATCACTAAAATAAAAGAAAACCTTTGCTAAGTAATTTGCTATTTCCCTGTGATATGCACGAGATCTGTATGAGTTCTGTAGCTCCCTCAAGGGGCTGAAACAATTTTATATCAAGACATATAACTGAGAGTAACTATAAAATAAAATATAAAAAAGTATAAAAGGGTAAATAACTGAGGATAAATTATTCTCCAATTAGTTTATAAAATACTCTTCTCCTGAGGCAGCCTGGGAGCTGCAACCAGACAGAAGACAGTCTTGGTGCTGAGCATCTCAAACCTTCCAGAAAACTTTCTCCTTCTGCAAGCAGGTAATTAAAACATATCTAATTACACAGCAGTGATGTTCTCAAGGGATGCAGTATGGTTTTTATTCAGGAATTGTCCTTATTTTCTGCCTCGTCCCAGTGGGAAGATGCTCTAACAGTGCTGGGAAAGGACCTCAACATGGGCAAATACAACCTTGGGAAGTGGAGATTATCTCTTTTTATTTTCTTAGAAAAGAAGAAAAAATAATTGCACAAGCAGTGATCCCAGCAGACACCTCTGCTCTGGGCAGGATGGGCACCATGAACAGCCCCCATCATGCCAGCCTTCCCCACTGGACCCCCTCCAGCACCAGTCCCGCTCCATCCTCCAGACTCGAAGCCACCAGAGAGGCCACATGCTGTCACCCCTCCTCATGCATTTCAGCAGAAGCAATTACTTCTCCACCAACTCTCCAGAAATCTCCTTTTCTTGATGCCACCACATATTTTCCCTAGCACAAGACCCACCTGCTTCACCATCTCAAGCCTGCAGAAAAGCCCCCGGCCACCCCTTCCTCCACCAGCACCCCACTACCACTGGCTCCTGTGAGCACCCAGCTCCATCCCAACCTTGCCTTCCCCTTGCTGCATCACACAAGTTGCGGTCACCAAGCTGCAGGGCCAAGGACTAGCACGCCTCCAAAGTCCAGCATCCCACCTTTGGGCTGCAAAACTCTCAGCACCACTGGGAAGTTATTCCTGCTCAACCCCACACTCCTGGTACATCCCGTGGCAGCGGTTCCCTCTCCATCAGCGGCGTTTCTGTCCCCCCCCAGCAGTTTTGTCCCATCTCCAGGGTACCAGGCTGGAAATAAAGCCCAAGTCATCTCCAGGGTACCAGGCTGGAAATAAAACCCAAGTATCTCCAAATTGCAGCACTGCCATCCAAATCAAACCCACACCTTCAGGAAAACAGCCCATAAAAGCCAGATACAGGTGCTACCAGATGTATTTAATTATTTTCTTCTCCCCAGCCCTTCAACAGGGCAGGGAAGGAGGCAGGAGGGAGACAGCTTTCCTACATTTTAAAGGAAGGAGTGATCTGTGCTTTCAACTTCTCTTTTTTAACTTTTATTGCCAGTTTCCAGGCTGTGGTTGATACCCCAGTGATATCCCAAATCCACCTCAACAGTTTAATAGCCCGTTACGGTGAGACACTATTTAAACTCTATGTTTAAAACTGTAAAGTATCAGCTCCTGGCCCTTTTTTTTACTTTATTTTTTAAGGGTTTTTCGCACCAGCACCCACGAGTTCCTATAGCTCATTGTGTAAAATACTGTCTCCTGAGAAGAGTAAGTTCACTCGAACGTTCATTTTAAAAACAGAAGTTTTGAAAGAGTTTGTATGCCCAGAGAGAGGGAAAAATAGCAGAAGTTAGAAAAAAAAAAATCACATTTACCTTGAGCAACTACTTATACCTGCTGCCAAAGGTGCTATATAGTAATGCACGCACCCTGCAGGGTCTTTCTGGTCGGTGGTGTTAGAGGAAACCCTACTGCTGCGCCCAGGAGCCTCGTCTAGTGAGGTGAAGCGGGGAAAAGAAAAATGCCCTCCGTCGAGCACCATCTCGCTGGCACAGATGATGACAGCCCCGTCCCCTCCCCACCCAGCGCACCCCAGTGCCTCCAGCAACACTTCGGGCACCTCCGCATTAATTCTCTCGGGCATTCCCTGCACGGAGGGGGCTATATGGGGTGGGAACCCCCATCCTATCCTCATCGAACAACAAGAGCTGAGGGCACCATCTCCTTCCCCACACGATGCTCCAGCCCCACGCGGGACCCCGAAGCCCTCCACGGAACCCCAGGCAGGGTCCATCGGCCCCACGAATGCCTCTCCCCAACACCGCACTGCCCCACGCTTTCGCCTCCCTTACCCACGGCATTTCTTCAGCCCCACACAGACTGCCC